AGAAATAATTTCTGCAGAGTTTCAGTAGGAATTTAGACGTACCTTGACCTTTGTGCGTAGCCAAGTATTTATAATGGTCTCGGAGATTAGGGTTTCAGAGGATTAATTCCGTAGTTGGTAAGGAATTATTCCTCCCTGATTTGGCATTGATTTGATTAATTAGGGATTTGATTTATTTGGGTAAATCAAATCCCTAATCGTGGTAGGTATCAGATCAAATCCTAATTTAATTAGGTAACTCCTCATTTAATTGGGAATTGGGGTAGGAATCAAATCAATTCCCAACTTAATTAGGTAATTCTCAATTTAATTGGGTAACTCCCAATTAAATTGAGTAACTCCCAATTAGGTTGAGTAATTCCCAATTAGGTCAAATAATCCCCAAATGGAAGGAATTATTTGACCTAGGGTATGATTTAATTCGGTTCCCACAATATGTTTCTTGCTACACAAGACAGATTTTCGGAGTCGTCGAAGCCAGCTCTTTGTGATCATTGGGTTTTGGCTATAAATTTTGGTGACAGTTGCAGTTGATTTCATTTTTCTCTTTAATTTTTTTTTGTTGAGTGTGAGTTGTGGCTAAGTCCAAAGACTACGTCATGGGAGATCAAGAGCCCAAGAAGCAGGCTAATGAGCTTGAAGCTCCCTTTGCGCCCACAACAACGCCACCACCACCAGAAGCCCCCAGCGTCATTGAGAATAAAGAAGGAGCTCTAAACCATGTCGCTGAAGACAAGACCGTGATCCCGATTTCTGAGGAGAAGGCATCTCCTCCTCCTCCTCCTCCTCCTCCTCCTCCTCCACCTGCTGCAGCTGTCAAAGGTACACACACTCTATCTCCCTCTATGCTATTACTTACACAAATATTATTGATTAATGTTGCACAAAATTTTCAGTTGCTATGATCACCCTGTTTCAGCAATTTGTTGTAACATTCTTCATCTCTCCCTTTTAACACGCATACACCATAAGAAAACTACCTCTTTGTTTTCAAGGAGCATGGTGAAAAATGAAAGCATATATTAGAACTTCATGCATGTTTCGGTTAAATGTCATGTAAAATCAAAGGGACCATGCAACTTATCTCTCTCAAAAGAAGGGTGGAGAATGAAAAGGTTGAGGAGAGGAAGCATGGGAATTGCATGTATCCAGCCAGCCACTCTTTCTTCTGGAAACACTGCAAGCATGAACTGAACCAAAGGAATATATATATATTTTTTTAAAGTAACTATAACTTTCTGTTACCCAATTTATTTATGTAAATTACAATTCAACTAAAATCTGTTTTTTAATTCTTGCATTCAATCTGTTTCTGGAGTTCATATTTTGTGCATATTCTTCATTTAACATGTAAATTTTTCAATCATACGGTTGTACCAGAGAGTGCATACCCTGCTGTAAAGAAAGACATAACAGGAGGGGGTTCAACTGAGAGAGGTATGTGACTGATGTTCTTGTTTCTTTGGATTAGTTTTGCCTATAATTTTTATTATTAGTCCATCCCTCAATTTATGAGATGTATAAATCATCATCTTCTTCATATTGTTTCTTCAGATGCATTGTATGCACAAATTGAAACAGAGAAACGGTTGGCCCTAATTAAAGCATGGGAGGAAAGTGAGAAGACAAAAGCAGAGAACAAGTATGAGGGAGGCTATTGTGCTTTATATAAGCTTAAACATGAAAATTATTGGAGTATCTATTGCTTTACAATAATCATGATCTTTCATGCTTGATTAAGGTAATTAAATTAATCCAACATTTTCAACTATTGACAGGGCATATAGAAGAATGTCAACAGTAGAATTGTGGGAAGACAGCAAGAAAACTTCTGTGGAGGCAGAACTCAAAAAAATTGAGGTCTGTTTTGCAGTAGATTATGATCTTTAATAAAAATAAAATGAAAATGAAAATTGGAACTTTGTCGTCGTCGTGAAATAATCTTGTGTTACACGCTTTTGGATAGGTATTCTTTTTTTTTTTTTTGTCATATCATTTATCTGACAATGTAGTTTGTACCAACTTAACATGTACATTGCTTGAAATTAACACTAATTCATTTAATCTAACTATAACCCTTTTTGATATCTGACCAAAATGTGTTTCGATTGACTAATCTGTGGGGACTAATGACAGGAAAAATTTGAAAGAAAGAAGGCAGAGTATGCTGAGAAAATGAAGAACAAAGTGGCTGAAATTCACAAGGCAGGAGACGGAAGGAGAGCTTTCATTGAAGCCAAACAAAGAGAGCAATGCCTCAGGGTGGAGGAAACAGCTGCAAAGTTTCGTTCTACCGGAATTACACCAAAGAAATTGCTACTCGGGTGCTTCATCAGCCAGCATTCTGCAGTTATGTAATTAACCATCAAAAATAAGGGAGGGGCTTGTTTTCCACTTTGGTTTGAGCTTTTTATTTCTAATGCAACATTTATAAAAATAATAAAAAACAAAGCAAACCATATAAACTTTTAGAAATTCTCCTATACAGACGTTCGAACGTTATTATCGTACGGATGCCATGTATTTTCTATACAAATTTATAAATAAACTCAATCCTAGACATGTATTTATAAAAAAATCTAAGCACTATTTAAACATAGAAACACACCCAAAATCAACCCCAAAGTCAACTTTTTGGGTGTGTTTATAAATGGGTTTTGAGTGTGTGTAATGATGGGTTTTGGGTGTGTTTATATGTTTAAATAGTGCTTGGGTTTTTTTATAATTTCAACCCCCATTTTGGGTGTTTTAGTGAAACTCCCTATTTTCTACTACCCCACTCTGCTTTCCTCCTTGTTTACAATAACGTCTACACGATAATAACTTGCGAACATCCGGATGAGAGAATGACTGTATAAACTTTTATTCTTAGGATTGGTAAAGTGTATAACAATTTACATGTATGGCAAAGAAAAATGGGCAAGTTTTGAAATTTCTGAGCTCATTCCAAGCCCATTGCAATAATCCACCCCAAACACTTTGAACTAAACTTCCACTTCCATAAGCCCACTTGAATGTTGGGCTTCTAAATTTTGGGCCATTACTTTTTCCCATTGCTATTATTTGTTTATTTTATATTTTAAATGGTGGTATTGTCTCCTCCCTGAACTCGTCCTACCCATCTACTTCTTGTTCCATCCACACGAAAAATAAAATAAAAGTAAAAATTTTACTCAATCCACCCACTAAATACACTATATGGTGTTTTTTTTTGGGAACATTGAGATATTCTTAATTACTTTAATTTATGAAAAATGAATTTTAGATTTGGGTGCAGAGAGACGAACACACTACCCTAACTAATTTGGTCTAACTCACATTTACATTCTCATTTACTTCTCATTTTTGTTTTATTTCTTGCAACAAACTTATGCCGAACAGTTTGTGTCATATAGGCCCCCCCATTCGCATTACTTGCTCCCAAAATTGGTTGAAATCTAAAAAATTGGTAGTTGAGTGAGTAGTGCTTGAAGAGTTATGGCCCAATATTTGCGTATTGGCCAAACACACGTTGCCAAACTCTCTTGGTTCTTTTGTTTCCCAGATGCTCCGTTTAAATAAAGTCAGATTCTGTTTCTAAATTGGATTTCATGCGTTTGTTAATTATTATCTGAAGAAGAAAAAAAAAAGATTCATGAGTTCGTAGGCCCACTCAAAGGTCCCCCAACTCCCCACCCACACCCTTTTTTCCACCCTTACTTGAGATTTCTTTCGTCACGTGATACCTGTTCACTTTGGGCTGCCTTAGCACGTGATTTTCTTTATTTATTTGTGTTTTCACTTTCGTATTTTTTATTTTATTTTTTATTTTCATCTTTTTCCCTTTGGCATTTGATACTTGAACTAAACCTCTTTTTACATATAACACTATTTTTTAGCTCATACACATAATCGTTTGGTTTGCAAGTTTTTCGTTATCGGTTTCTTTTAAAATTCATGTATGATAGGGATTCTTAGGGCATTCTCGTTGTAATTTTATAGATCGGTTCTAAAAAATGAAAGAAAAAAAAAACTGTTTGAGAGAGAAACAGAAAGAGAGAGACAGCTTGAGGTGCTTCCAGGGGAGCAAACCAAACCAATGGACCTTCTTGGAAAGTATCTTAGATGGTGTCTCTTTAATTATGCCTTGTAACTTTGCAAGAGGTGGTTTGCTTCCAGTTTTTTTATCTTTCATATGTTTGTGGATACCACCTTCACATGGCCACCTTCTGTTGTCTCTCATGTGTGCACTTAGTCTCATCATTTCCCATCTCCTTTGTTGGGATTCAGCCGAGTCCATGTCCTACAAATTTTTTATGACAATTATGGCAATAGGAACATAAAGATAAAGTAAAATGAAACCAAAAAAGATTAAGTTGTCTTTATATGATCTTTTTATTTCCACAAGCTAACCAAATGGCTACTCACACTGTGCACTTTTTATATGATATGTTGTCACATGATACACAGATAAAAGTAGAAGTACAAAGAAATCTTCTTCACATGACTGATCAAGCTCTGAAACATATGCAAGAAGCTAGCTAAATTTATATCTTAGACCCAAATTACAATTTATATTTATAAAAAAAACATGCATGAGCTTGTTCGCGACTGTTTATTATAAAGATGTCGAAATTTTCATAAGAAATCCAAGTGCTTCTACAGAAAGCGTGTCTACGACCTAGAAGCACTTCGAACATTTTATACCAAACTTCTCCCAAATGGACTCATAGTCTTTTTCTTAAATTATCAATATTGTGAAAGGTTTAGGCTGTTTGAATGTGAGACGAATCCTGGATTTTATATGTGTTTTAGAAGGGAGCTAATTTTTCTTTAATGAAAATCTTGTTGCTATAATAATTAGCTTGTGATGATAAATAATAATACAAAAAGTTTAATGATTAGCTTTGGGTTCATTAATATTTTCAGTACCTACAACATGCGAGAGAGGCTGTTGAATTAGGTTTACCTAATAATTATAAGATTCCCAAAGTTGATGGGAAGTGCATTGTCGCTCGCTATACATTTGAAGGAGAAAAAGAAATTAAGAGAGGAAATTTATAGAACCATCTATTTTCCAACTTCATAATCATTATAATAAATATTTTCAACGACAATGCAGCTTCAGCAACTTTTAAATGCTTAAATGGGTAATTTCATGCATTAAGATCGTAGATTCTTAAGATTTGATAGCTTAATAATGATCCCTAAAAGTCTTCCGCTTTGGTAATTTGATGTACATAAGCTGTGTGACTCGAGCCTATATGTGTAATAATATATATGGATGCTAAAACTTTAAAGCCAAGATCTCAACCAACAAGTGGATTAGGGGTCCCTCTCATTGCTAATAAGGTGGAAAAGTTTTAAAGGGACCATCTAGCAAGTCATGATTACCATCTCCCCTCTGCTCTGCGACATTATCCTAAGCGTATATCTTTATCTATGCTTCTCACTGCTACTTTTTTCTGCAGATAGAGGCCCTTCTCCAACTTCTTCCTGGCTCCCCACCAACGACTTTTTCTTTATCATAATCTAACATGGGTTTAAAAGTCCATGCATTCATTTATGAGTTATAACCTCTAATTTTTCTGGATAACTCTTAGTGGTATGTTTACTTACTTGAAACGAGGGAAGTAAAAAATCGGAAAACTTAGAAATAAGGGAAGTAAATAATTGGAATTATATTAACTGAGTCCTCTAGTTGATCCAATTCCTGATTTTGAGGCTATTGCGCTAATGATTTTAAGGTTGTATTCTAAAAAATGTGGAGAAGCCAAGAATTGACATAATTCCACTTCTTCTTATACCCATTACTGATAAGTAAAAATGCCATTAAAAGAACTTCGGAATCTCTTAAAGCACCTATAAATCTCAGGGAGATTTCCTCTATTTTTGTTGAGGTGTAAGGAAAAAGACTTCTCATCTATAGTAGCAAACTAGCGATTTTTCACACTTACGTATTTGCAGTATAGTAAAACATCTAATGAAAATCAAAGCACAAAAAGTACAAAGGAATTGAAAGATAGGAGTTTGCATGATTGTTGAGCTACGCAAATTAAATTCAATTCACAGGAACTCACGAGCACACCAAAAGGATGAATCTAATTAATAGATAGAGCCATACGTGTGTGGTAAATGAAACCAAAAACAATAATGGATATGTCAGTCTGATGAAAATTTTGAACTTGGCGCATGATAGAAGCAGTGGCGCATTACAATTTTGCATGGCCCTCAGCATTCAAGTAAATGGACCCCTTGTTCTGTGTTCTGTTCTCTTCTCAAACTTGTCCATTACTTGCAATGAACTGTAGGAGGTTTGATGGTGCAAATACAGTTGGCCACACTGATTTAGGCCAAACAACACATGGAGTTGTTTGTTACGAGACACAAGCATCCTTTAGGGTCCTCCTAGCAAATTGCATGTTGTCAAATTCAATTTTTAATTCTCTTATGTGTGGGGCTTTTTCTTTTTGTTTGCTAAAATGTGGGTCTAGAGTTTCTTGTGGTTGAAGATATTGGAGAAGTTTTCCTCTTAACCCTTTTCCACCCACCTCACTTTGGGGCGTTTGATATCCATTTTAATTTTCCTTTTTAGTTTTCATTTTTTTGTGCTAGAGTATAGAGGAAAAATAGAGAGAATGGAAGTGAGAGTGAGAATGAGAATGGAGATGAGATTGAGAGTAAAGATGAGAGGAGAGAATGGTTGGGAGGAGTAACAAAAATGAAAACAAAAACTGAAATCTATTTCAAATTGTTTGCACTTTCAATATTTTGTTTTCACTTTTGTTACTCCTCCCTCTCATCCTCTCTCTAAATCTCATCATCACTGTCATTTTCCTCTATACTCTAACACAAAAACTAAAAACTAAAAACTAAAATTGAAATGGTTATCAAATGGGCCATTCACTTGTTCAAATTGTAACATCTAACCCAAGATTAATTAGTAAAATACATACAAGTTTACATTTAGCAATTTATTTTTCACCTCACTTGTATAACATTGTAACATTGAATTCAAATTCAATTAGTAATATAGAGAGAGATTTACGATTTAATCTGTTGCAGAATTTACATATGTTGAGACTTCATATTAGCCAGTATAAAATGCAATGATGTGAGGCTTTTGGTTATCACAAGGCACCTTTTAAATACGTTGTCAAACTACGTTAAGAATTTTGCTAACGTCGGTCATCTACGCGTGTGTGATAAATTTTAGGCCGCTGATAAGACGTGGGCTCCATATTTATGGCATGTGAGTGATTCATCGTAACACAACTCCTACATTATAAACTCGAAACATCCAATCCAAAAAATCAAATGTTAAGTAGTGAAAGATGCTCAAAGTTTTTATTGACTTAAACGCAAGGCTTAAAATGTCGGATAATCTAAAAAACAACGTCCCTGTAATAGATATGTGCATAGCCACACAGCCACAAGATGAAGAGCCAAAAAGCAAAAGATGTACATGGGGTTGGGCATGGAGCCCATTCAAGGGCAGTTGGGTTGACAATTATTAAAGTATAATATATATATATATATAGTTAAATGTAATTCAGAAACCCTATTGGACATTAGAAATTGTAAGATATTTACATGTCACATGTTTTACTTGGAAGAAATTGAGGTGGTGAGTCTGGTGCTGCCTGCAGACGCACGCTTTGCTTTGGAGCTGTGGAGGTGGAGTCAGTAAACTACTTATTGACTCTGGTTATAAGCTTCGGCCAACAGAAGAGAACAGAAAAGATGAGGCAGCTTTAAAGCCAAGCAAAGCAGACAGCAGCAACCCCAACTAGTCCCTATCATCTTCCCACATCTAAAGCTTTCTTCTCCTGCCCCTCCTCCCATCCCACGTACCACACCTTAAAAGGTGTACCAGAATTTCATTGTTCCAGACCTACACACTCTAGCTACCCATTCTCCGTCTTCTATCTTTCTTTTCACCCTTCCTTTTTTTATTTTGTTAATGATTTTTAATTTCGTAACATATGTGAATAAAACAATTTGTACCATATTTTATATTTCTAAAAATGCATCTTTTGCGAAAATGATGTCACATTAGAGTCATGGTACCCAAACAAATGTCTCCTATTTAAATGAAATATATTGTGGTACATACGTGCATGTAACACTCTTTTTAAGTCATGTGAAAATTTAACGCAAATATCAAATTTTAAAGTGAACCTCGAATGCATGAAATAACTAGTCAATATTTGAAGAAGAATGAAATGGATTCAAGTGATACATTGCGTATAGTTATTTCACATCCAATTCAGATATATTTTCTAATTCTTGTAGCAAATTTAACCTTGTTAATGTGAATTCTTTATTCTTTCATAACCTTCCGTCCAAATGTAGCCCAAGTATTTGAGTGTACACCACATCACCCCCATGCTCATATCTTAGTTATCACAGTGTCATCCATAGGGTTGCGGCAACATTACTCATATTGTATGGGTTGAAATTTATGGTTATGGAATTCAATAGATAGGATACTTTGGTATAAACGCTTCTTGGGAAATTAAAGTTTCTCTTCTCTATGCTCCTAACGTACCTAACACGCAGTGCCATACAATACAACAGTCAAATTTTATATACACATATATAAAATTATATATATCTTAATTTGATTCGCTTGGTAAAAGACATTAGAACCAATCCAACAAGCTACCTAATTCTTTTATCAAATTTCGCACAAATCTTCTAATTCTAAATGCTCAATAAAAAATATACCAACCGTTCGATATTTTATTTATTTATCAAAAGGTATATTTTTATTAAAACAAAACAATGAAACAGTACATCAACTTCGAAACAGGCAGAGAAGTCATATTGTGGTCTCATTAAAATATATCAACCGTTCGATACTTGAAATGGGGTATTTGACAAACGGAAAAAATAATAATAATAATAATAATTTATAATGCTATTAGCTGTGGCTACTTGCTAACCAACTTGGTCATATGCCTAAACAACCCAATGAAGAATATATAAAAACTAACAAACATCGAAAGAGCATCAATCAAACTGGACTTAATATAATTTTAATCACACTTGGTTGGATGTAAAACAATATTTTTATTTTAAAATGGATTTATAATTAAACATAGGCACAGTTAAAGCCTGCCTCCAGCTTAGGTAAAAAGTGGACTATAAGTAAACGCAAGGGGGGATTTTATGTTCAACTACCATTTACCTCTACTTGCCAAGTGCCAACCATAAATAGGTAAAAAGAATTATTTATTTTCACTTTCTTTCAGTTCCATACGCTAAAATTAAATAATAATTTAATGATTTATGTAACATTTTGACACTATGCAAGTGTTTTTTTTTTCTAATCTCCATCATAAATATTTAATTATGATTTTTAAAAGTTTTAAAAGAGAGTAAACAATAGCGAGCTCTGCTGTTAAAAAATATTTTAAAAAATTTTGACATCAATTTTGCTACTTTTAAATCTATGGGTTGGAACCATTTTGTCCTTAAATTTTCATTATTTTATATTTATATGCATCTCAATTGAATATATCGGTTGAAGATGTTCACTCTTTTCGAGAAGAAGACTCAGATGTCTTAATGCACCTTTGTAATTGTGAGCATTTTATGCACCAAGAAGCTAACAATGTGTGGTTTTTATGGCCTATCAGGTTACCAAATACCTAGTCGGCAGGAATTGGTAGCATTAATATTCAAAAAAATTAAGTGCTAGCTATAATTGAAACCTTTATATAAAACAACCTACAATAATTTGTTGCTTTTTGGCTGGAGAACGCTCCAATTTGGTTAAACGTCATTTTCTTCAAATTTATATAATCAAGGAAATTAAATTAGTCATTGCTGACCGACCGTTGGTGTTTCCTTTTAGGCCTTTTTTTTTTCCCGTTAATTAGAATGATTAAATTGACACTTCCAAATTAAGAAAACCCAACCAAATCCTTACATCACAATCTTCACATTCTTTGTGGTAAAATAAAACCCAACAAAACCCAGTTGCAAGTTTCTTGTCTCTGTCATCTGCCATAAACCCTGCAAGGGTCAGAATTGAAATGCAGCACATTTGGTTGGAAAAATCTGAAAGCTCTGTTGTTTGTGATGGTGGCATTTGCGGAAGCCAAGTGCCAAGGGCCCCCTGGTTGCTGGCTAGTTTGTATAATTTAGGAAGAAATTAAATTAGTGGACCAAGCAAGCAAGCATGCAATCTTGGGTGAACAATAAATAGGAAAAAATATGTGTAAGCTTTTTCTGGGATCTTATCATATATAGAAGAATCCATTACAATGATAGTACAACCAGTCTTATCATATTTGAGTATTTTTTTAATTTCCTTTTTCTTGAGAAATTAAATTAGATGGGAGAATCAAGCTCAATATGAAGAGACATGTATGTAAAATCTTATTGGAAAACCCAGTCTTATTATTGTACAACCATTCGAATTAGCTTCAGATACTTTATGGTTACTCTCTCATAATGCGTAAGGCTATCAAATAAATTCTAAACACATTTGTTCGTATGTAAATTACACATTGTTACTTATTTGTAAAACACACAAAAAAGTTAGTAAAAGAAGGAGATGACTTGGTCAAAATTGTTTATCATCGAGTATTTTAAGAGGAAAAAAAAAAAGCTTCTGCTATGTGACAATGTCCAAATTTGATAGCGATTTTAACCACAATACAACTGGACAGACATGGGAGAAACGTTAAATTTAAATATCTGAATCAAATCCAAATAAAATCTTAATTTCTTTATTGGAATTTACCCAAAAAAATAATAATTGCCAGAGTAATATACCTCCTGAAAACACAAGGGCATTTATGTCAAATATAAAGTTTCATACTTACTGTTCCCTTGACCCAATACATAAACCACTATAAAAAAATTGGATAAAAAACACTACAATTTTTTTTTCAAATTAATTTTATATTACCTTAATAAATCATAAATTATTTTACAGAAGCTTCTCCCTCAATTTTTTACGACATAAATATAAATTTCCTCCCAAATTTTCTTTTGAAAAAGTTAGAATACATGTGTCATCTCTCTCTAAAAGACTGTTACAAAGAGAGAAGAGAAAGCTCTTCAGATCTGCTTAATTTTGTTGTCTTCTGTGCATATCTCTCGAACCCATTCCCGAAAACTCACAGTCTAAGCTTCCCTGAAAGCTTTTCATCGAGTCGACCCGCATTGATCCACCGAGTCAGCGAAATTGGGTGCACTCTGTTTCATGCTCTGTTTTTAAGCCAATGAGCTAAAACTTCGAAAGTGCAGAGCTTGGTTCTCAGTTTGGATTGTTCACCGGCAGAATGGTGGTGTTCCGGCGGGTTGTACCGGAGCTCCGGTGAGTGTCGGAGTTCCGGTGAGTGTTCCGGCGACGCTTGGTTTTGGTTTTGGATAGTGTAAAATGTTCAAGTCAGCGAGATGGAGAAGCGACAAGAACAAGATCAAAGCCGTCTTCAAATTGCAGTTCCATGCAACTCAGGTTGTTTAACACTCATTGCCTTTGTAATTGAAGCTTTGTGATTGTTTTTCTCAATTGGGTTTTGTTTGGTGGCTGAGAAAATGCAGGAAAATGAAAACCAAATAATGTTTTGTTATAGAAGTTTCAATCTTTTATGTCTGGCTCGATGAGTGTTTAGAACCAGAGAGCTGATTATTGCATACTCAATTGAGCATTTCACTGAGCAAAATGTTTCTTTTCTATGTTTTCTTGTCCTGGCAACTAAGTGAAGGAAATTGAAGAATGTGAATCTGTGAATGTGATTGAGGTGTTGGAATTGTATAATAAAAGTGTGTTCTTTTGTGATTTCAGGTGCCAAAGTTGGGTGTGGATACATTGACGGTATCTGTTATTCCGGGGGATGTGGGAAAAGCAACTGTGAAATTAGAAAAAGCTACAGTTCGAGATGGGAGCTGTCGATGGGAAAATCCGGCCCATGAAACAGTTAAATTCCTCCGTGAGCCTAAAACCGGGAAGATCAAGGAGTGTCTCTACAACTTTGTTGTCTCAACTGTATGAATTATTAACAAAATGTCAAGCATTGAATTGTTAGATTTTTTTTTTTTTTTTTCTGGTTAATATCAATTTTGTTTATGAGTATCTGATTTCTTTTAACATGTTGTGTAGGGATCTTCTAAAACTAGTGTTCTTGGGGAGGTTTCTGTTGATTTTGCTGACTATGCTGAGGCTACTAAAACTTCCTGTGTCTCTCTTCCCCTTAAGAATTCTAATTCTAATGCAGTTTTACATGTTAGTATTCTCCCACTTTATCTGGTTTTAAAATTCTACAGCTCTGCTTCCTAAAAAAGATAACTAGATAAAGACTACAATTTGATTGTTGTGTCTTATCAACCTCTTTTTGTTTTTTAATAGGTTACCATTCAAAGATTGCAGGAAAACGTTGATCAGGGGTAAACTTGTAGTTAGTTTCCTTTATCTTTGGAGTTTGCTTTTATATGAATTCTGATTTTTGATTTTCCCCTTGCCTGGTAAATTTTGAAGAGAGGAAGAAGGCTGTGAAGATGCGACTGTTAAATCCCAGGATAGAAGCTTGAAGAATCACTTAAGCAATCATGATGCAGATGAGAGAGTTTTGATCGTGAGTTTCATGCCATACATACAAAGAATGCATATTTTTTTATTATTGAAAAGTTTTTTATTTGTTCCTAATTATCATACATCAGTTCTTGTTTCTGTTGAGATGGTTGGAGGGTGGTTGAATAGATGATAATAAAATCATTTCAAGTTTAATGTAAAGAACTTCTTTTTATTGTTTTGAAATTTTCCTTGCTGATTCACAGGATGAAGGAATCAATAGAACCACCCAAAATGCTGATTTCAATCGTAGGGCATCTATAGGATCTGACATAACATTGTCAAGTTCTGACAGCGGCTCTGGACTTGATACTCCTCGAGAACATGGACTGAGAAACATTAATGTCGGTCATGATCCTTCAAGCTTTCCGTCATCTCTTAGTCATGCCTCAGTACAACATAAACCTGCTGTTTATACCCCGACAACAACCTATGACGAGCATCAGCGATCACAATGGGCATGGTCTGCAGGTTCTGAACATGGAGTAAGTACTGATGGTTCAACAAAGAGTTCTCAGGACACCCTTCCAAGAGAAAGGCCTTCAGATGACGAGATCGAAAAGCTAAAAGCTGAACTTCTTGTTTTAGCTAGACAGGCAGATATGTCAGAGTTAGAATTACAAACATTAAGGAAGCAGATAGTCAAAGAGAGCAAAAGGGGGCAGGATCTTTCAAAAGAAGTCATTAGCTTGAAAGAGGAGCGAGATGCTTTCAAGGCAGAATGTGAAAAACTAAAAGCCTTTCAGAAGAAACGTATAGATGATGCACAAATTAAAAACAGGTTCCAGTTAGAAGGTGGAGATCTGCGGGCTCTTGTAGATGAAATCAGACAAGAACTAAGTTATGAGAAGGACCTGACTTTCAATCTTCGTTTACAACTCCAGAAGACACAAGAATCAAATTCTGAGTTGATTCTTGCTGTACGAGACCTGGAGGAGATATTGGAGCAGAAGAATAGTGAAATAGCTGACATTTCCAACAGACCAGAATCCACTGAAGATGCTGCAGGGTTGAAGGCAACCATCTCAAAAGGTGGGACCAGTGAGGATGAGGAGCAGATGGAGCTGGAGGATCTTGTTAAGGAGCACAGCAATGCCAGGGAAACACACCTGCTTGCGAAACAGATTGCAGACCTCTATAGTGAAATAGAAATCTATAGAAGAGACAAAGATGAGCTTGAGATCCAAATGGAGCAGCTTGCACTTGACTATGAGATATTGAAACAAGAAAACCATGACATCTCATATAAACTAGAGCAAAGCCAACTGCAAGAACAACTTAAAATGCAGTATGAATGTTCATCTCCCTCTGCTAGCATGAATGAACTTGAATCCCAAGTTGAGGATTTGGAAACAGAACTGAAGAAGCAGGCTGAAGATTTTTCTAATTCGTTGACTACCATAAAGGAACTTGAATCACATATCAAAAGCTTGGAGGATGAACTGGAGAAGCAGGCACAAGTATTTGAAGCTGATTTAGAAGCTGTGACATGTGTGAAAGTTGAGCAGGAGCAAAGAGCCATCCGAGCAGAGGAGGCACTGAGGAAAACTAGATCCAAAAATGCTAATACAGCTGAGAGGCTTCAGGAAGAATTTAGAAGACTCTCTGTGCAAATGGCCTCAACATTTGATGCAAATGAAAAGGTAGCTTTGAAAGCAATGACAGAAGCCAATGAACTGTGTGTACAGAAATGTCAACTAGAAGAAATGCTCCAGAAAACTACGGAAGAGCTCCAGGAAGTTGGAAATGATTATGAGGCAAGATTGCAGAAGATCTCCAACCAAATAGATGAGAAAACCGAACAGATAGAACAGATGTTAGTGGAAATTGAGAATAAATCCAAGCAGCTTGAACATCAGCAGAAGCAAGAGGAAGAAGTTAAGGGGCATTTCTCCCAGGTGATCTTACAGCTCCAGTCTGAGATTGATAGGCTTAAAACTGAAAATAATAGCCTTTCTGAGCAAGCAGAGGAAAACAAAAATTTGAGAGCAGATTTGGAACAAATGAAGAAATCAATCGAGGAAACTGAGATGCTAATACAAAGGGGAGATGCGGAAAGAATTGAGCTGGTGAGTACAATTGCTATGCTGAAGGATGAAGCAGAGAAGTCATTGGAGAAGTTGAATAGAATGAGGGAGCTCAAAGAAGAAAAAGAAGCGACAGTTGGACTCCTACAGTCGGAATTAGAAGAGCTTAAAGCTCAATGTAATGACTTGAAACATTCGATATCTGAGGATGAGGTAGAGAAAGAAAAACTTAGAAAGCAGGTCTTCCAGCTAAAGGCTGACCTGAGAAAGAAGGAAGATGCATTCACAACCATTGAAAAGAAGCTCAAGGATAGCAATGGACGTGCATTAGTTTCTGATGGAATTAAATCTGCTCACAGAAACAATAAGTCTTTGCCAGTTGCTAAAGGTTCAAAAGAAGTTGCAGGTCTTAGGGAGAGAATAAAATTGCTCGAGGTAAATTTTAAATTCTTAGTCATATACTGAAACAATTTTGATATGAAACTTTATTTATGAAACGATCTTTATTTTAATTTTATGAAAGATAAACTAAGAGAAGATCAGTTAAATTTGCAACAATAAGAGAGGATATTAAAACCTGTAACCCATCTTCTGATACATCCAAATCATTTTCTAGCTACTGTCTTTATTGATGCATGAGCTGACAATGTCTCTAATTTTTAATTTTTTTATTTTACAGGGACAAATAAAGTTAAGGGAAGCTGCTTTGGAAACCTCAACTGCTTCATTTTTGGAGAAGGAAAAGGATCTTCAAAACATAATCGAAGAGTTAGAGAGCAGGGTGGAAGAAATCAATCAGAATAGTTCAGTTATGAAGGTCGGTAAACTTCTCTATTAGTATTACGTAATGCATCAGGTACAATGCTTATGCTTATAAGAAGGATTATGATGTAAAAGAAAAATCATATTCCTACAAAAAAGAAAACGAAATTGGATGGTAATGCTATTTGATACGGGATTACCTACGTAAATAGGCATTAGTTATAGGGTTTTAGATGCGAGGCATATTGAGTAAGAACATTGACTTCGAGTTTAGGGTAGTTCTAATCTTGCTCTAGTTCTCCTTCTCTTCTTGCTCTAATTCTTGAATAATGTCTATGCTGAGCTTCTTGCCTTTGCCATTAAATGCTGTCTAATTGTATCTGAAGGTATTTGTGCAATCATCTTATGGTACAGGTAGGCAAAGATATCACTGGTATAACTTCAAATGAAGAAGAGAGGAGTGGATCTGAATACTTGGGCCAGTCAGCATGTTTGCCCAAAGAAAATGGAAATGATATGTCTTGTATCAAGAGGTATGATTTGTAGAAACAAATTATCAATTTCACTGAGTCAGTTATTTTTTGTTTTATACGTTTTACAATTTTACTCTGCTTGTTCCCAGTGTGCAGCAAGTTACTGAAATAGTTTTTTTTATGGCCTTCCACAGTGCTGATGAAATGTCATCAGAGCAAGAACCGAGACTTGCCAATGTGGATCATAGAAATGGCTACCATGATGACTTATTAACTGAATTAGCGTCAATTAAGGAGAGGAATACATCAATGGAAAGTGAACTAAAAGAGATGCAAGAGAGATATTCAGAGATAAGTCTCAAATTTGCAGAGGTAGAAGGTGAAAGACAACAGCTTGTAATGACAGTACGCAACCTCAAAAATTCGAAGAGGAGCTAAAAAACTGTTCATAATCTTATATTACCATGTACAGTTAAAACAGCTGGAGTATGTTCACACCAAAAATCAAGACCTGACAGTTCATTGCAGTGAGTAAATATATGTACACAGGTCATATAATTTTTCCCCTCGCTTTATGCTGTGTGTCTGCTCCCATGTCTAATGTAGTTCATGTGGTTCGGTGTTCTGTCCATGCTTTTTTCTGTGATTCTTTTAAAGCTTGTCAATGTTCTCACGTCCAACATATATGACGATTATATCATTAATATATTCTTTATATTTTTTGATCCTTTCAATTTTGCAGCTCTTGATAATGTTATCAGAAGAGTTGTACGTTTTTATGTGTAGAGTATCTATATATCTTAGTATAGTTTTTGTACTTCTGGCCATGGCCAAGGGTGCATCAGTTTTTCGTGGACTGAACTCAATTAGCTTGTGATGTGTGGCCAAAATCTACACCCTTGTTTCTTGCCTTGGCCTCGTGAAGGACAACTGACCATTAAAATTTGTGGAGATCAAGTACCACACCAGTCAAATTATGGCTGCTTCAATCTACATGTATTCCTTTGGCTGGTGGCCTTCTGGTCGGCATTAGTAGTTGTGTTTCGTTCTTTGAGTATTACAGATTAAAAAACAAATCTCAAAATTGTGGATCAAGTGGTTAAGAGCATTTACTTCTACACCCAAGGTGCTAGGTTCGAGTCCCCCGTTCCCCAATATTACTGTTCACTAGGCATGTTATGCACTTAAGTTGTTTTTCAGAACTAACATCGTGGAGTATTTCAAACTTGAGAGGGCTTTTGGTGATTGGTCTTAGAGCAAGTCCAACCTTGCTTCAAAATCGGGCAAAAGGCAGCCCAGGGGGGAAGGAAGCAGCTCCAGCGCGCAAGGGCCAGCCCTGGCAAGAGCTGGGTCCCACGAGCCCAGGCAAGCCCACGGGCAAATTCAGATTGAGCTGCTGTCAGGGCAAATTGATGCAATGCTGACGTCATAATGGCGTCAACAACCCAAAAAAAAAAATGAAAAAAATAGAAAAAAATACCAAAAATTCCAGAATTTTTTTAAATAAATACCTAGGCATATTCTTTACTTCCCACACTAAAAACTATATACAAATTCATCTCCTCATATCTCATATGAATAATATTTGCCTTAGACTTGCCCTAGACTTAGCTCTCATGGGTGGAACCAAATGCAGGGGCGCACATTATCCGGGAGAATGGTGGCACCACTTGCTTGCCCTTGCCTTAGACTTAGCCCTTGTGGGTGGAAGTGCTCTTATTGTTCTATGCTGACAACTAAGATGTGGGTGATTTGGGTCATAGTAGTTAAACAAGAGGTAGATTTCTAATTAGAATTTGTAACTTAGCAATTGGATGTTCTAATTGTGGCCTTCATTTTCACGTTTTATTTCCAGATGAAGTCAAGTTGCCTATAATGAAAATTTATTCAGATGCATGCACTTGTTAGACAGCTACACAAGTTCCAATCATGCATGCTTTGCCTGCTGCGGAAAATTTGTACATTTACTATGCATCAAGAAAAAAAAATCATGATACACATGGAATTCATTGAAAAAAGACCCAAAAAAAGGGTGGAGAGAGAGAGAGAGAGAGAGAGAGAGAGAGAGAGAGAGAGAGAGAGGACTAAAAGACTAGGCTACGGCTAAGCTCCTAATCAACATAGAGTCCAAATCCTTATCTGATTAGAGGACCACATTAAGTGGTTCAAGACATTCTAACGTCTTACACGAGAGAGAGAGAGAGAGAGAGAGAGAGAGAGAGAGAGAGAGAGAGAGAGGACCTCTGTCAGGATATTAGTTTAATCCCAGGCTTAAAGCATTGTTGGGTTAATTGTGTTAATACATGAAATATTAGCTTGCTGTATAGGAAAATGGAAAATGTACAATATTAGGCTGAATTAATCTGCTAAATCCCACAAAATCTCAATTAAAATGTACAATAATATCAGGAAAAATTCCAACGAAAGGAAACAAGAGAGGAAAAAACCCCATGAGGAACAACATTGCCAACAACAAAATCGGTCGTATTCACATAGACCAAAAACGAAAAAAAGAAAAAGAAATCAGAGTTACTAGCTCTAAAGATGTAAGCTCATAATTGATGTCTAATTAATCCATAAACAGTGACGAGGGCCATGATAAGGGAGTGATCTACATGAGCCTCTACCACCAAACTCAGCACATCATCTCCCAATACAACTCCTGAAATTGACTGCTTTCTCTTTGCCTCTGCTACAAATCCTTCATTGCTGTCTGTAATTCTAAATGCTGATGATTTCCCCCCCAAGGCTTCTAACTTGTAGCTGCAACTGGTCTCAGATCCCATGCTTACTTTATAAGAACACTCATTATTTCCAAGAATTGCTCTACAACTTTTCCTCACTCGAAACATTGGCCTATTGGCAACAGCAATAGTGTTGCTTTTGTAGCCCTCCCAGCTTAGAAAACCACACATTTTCTTCTCACAAACAGTGAAGAGAAGCTTGCCCCGGAGATCCATGAGATAAACTTCGTTGCTGTGCTTGTTGTCGTAGTTATCGATTCGATAAACGATCTCTCCCCTTTCATCAAACGCAGTGCATCCGTTTCCTTGCATCACAAGCGATTTCATCCATATGGTGAATGTTTCTCTCTTTGAAGTCATGTACTTGTTAGAACACGATGAAGTACTAGCAGTAGAGCTAGAAGGAGCTTCATGGCTACTATTGAGTATTACGAGAGGATGAATCTTAGCCATTTGAGAGCTGAGAGATGAACCAAAATTTTGGTTTGCGTGAGACTTCTTCAATATGAAGTTACTATTTTATACTCCACTCAAAATTGGGGAAAAAACCATTGAAAGATATTGTTATATAACAATCGTTTGGTTATGACGCATCCAAAGAGACCTCCACGTTTTAACCTATGTGCATGTCATATGTGGTATGGGGATATGTTCATAGCCACACGTTTTATTTTTCTTTTTATCAAATAAGTTTATATTGGTGTTTATCTTCGACATGTTTTTTTTGGTTGCTACACATGGCTAGCTAACGGGGACTTATTGTATATTGTATGTTAGTCTATCGACTTGTCAGTAAGTTATTTATTTATTTATTATTATTTGTTTTTAATTTATTTTCATTTTAATAAAATATTGTTTTACGTATTTGCATTTATATCGAAAATTAATTATGGTTTCTATAATTTTTTGTTCATATCCGTATCCTTATTATGATTTGATGATAATTTAATTAATATAGGGAAAGTGTCACACGTCCTCTGTTGTGGGTGGCTATATGTATATCTGTAAGGAATCTTGTGCACAAGGGACGACAAGTGTTTATTTTAACTCTCATTCCTTCATCTTCCCTTACTTCTTGACCGGCTTAACCCCACGGACTCAAAATGCTTTCATAATTACATATATAGCTAACAGGTCTAATACAATGGCATGCATGAGTGAGAGTTATTCAGAAAAGATAAGGAAAGAGAATAACTTGTGTCTTTATATTATTTGTTTTTCGAGAAAGTATTTATCCTTATTCTATTTACTTGTGTCTTTACCGCACTACGAAGTTGATAATGATATTATACATTAAGTAAACAATTGTACAATATATATAAGTTCATCAATGTCTTGGGAGGGCTTTTCTTTTGTTGTTATCCAATCAATTTATCCTAAATATATGGAAGAAGTTGATGCCATGAACAACAAGATATTGTTTGTTTTTAGTTATCAACTTATCGTCATCCTCTTATGTTGACTTCAATCTGATCCAAAAATATAATGGCATGTGCAAATATTCTCGTGGAAGAATATCCACTTTAAGATCTTTCGCTCTTTGAACTCTTTCTTTCTCTTACTCGATTCATGTAAAATCAAATTGGAGTAAAAGATCACACACTACTTATATATTAAACCAAAGGCCAAAGGCTCCGATGCCTAAGTTAGTTCGATTGTATCTAGGAAAAATAGCTAAAAAAAGGTACTGAGCATTCTCTATGGGGAGAACCGGATGACCGGAGCGTGTATGAAAATATGGAGAGATGAGAGAGGTGTGGCCAACGGCAGTGATGGTGCCGTTGACTTGAAGAGAGAGAGTGGAGTTTCTCGGGTATTTTTGCTAGGTTTAGGATTACTTTGTGTGTTGAATGTAGCCATGTATTTATAGGGCTCTAGGCATCTATGGTTTTTCAAAGAATGTAACCAGGTAGACGACACTAAATTCGCAAAATCCCAAATCCACGCCCAAGTTTTCTCCCCAAGAGACAGAGTCAATTTTTATTTTAAAACCAAAAAGAAAGAAAAGGTGAGGATGAAGCCCTTCTATTTTTTGAGAAAGTATTTATCCTTATTCTATTTACTTGTGTCTTTACCGCACTACGAAGTTGATAATGATATTATACATTAAGTAAACAATTGTACAATATATATAAGTTCATCAATGTCTTGGGAGGGCTTTTCTTTTGTTGTTATCCAATCAATTTATCCTAAATATATGGAAGAAGTTGATGCCATGAACAACAAGATATTGTTTGTTTTTAGTTATCAACTTATCGTCATCCTCTTATGTTGACTTCAATCTGATCCAAAAATATAATGGCATGTGCAAATATTCTCGTGGAAGAATATCCACTTTAAGATCTTTCGCTCTTTGAACTCTTTCTTTCTCTTACTCGATTCATGTAAAATCAAATTGGAGTAAAAGATCACACACTACTTATATATTAAACCAAAGGCCAAAGGCTCCGATGCCTAAGTTAGTTCGATTGTATCTAGGAAAAATAGCTAAAAAAAGGTACTGAGCATTCTCTATGGGGAGAACCGGATGACCGGAGCCGTGTATGAAAATATGGAGAGATGAGAGAGGTGTGGCCGATGGCAGTGATGGTGCCGTTGACTTGAAGAGAGAGAGTGGAGTTTCTCGAGTATTTTTGCTAGGTTTAGGATTACTTTGTGTGTTGAATGTAGCCATGTATTTATAGGGCTCTAGGCATCTAGGGTTTTTCAAAGAATGTAACCAGGTAGACGACACTAAATCGGCAAAATCCCAAGTCCACGCCCAAGTTTTCTCCCCAAGAGACAGAGTCAATTTTTATTTTAAAACCAAAAAGAAAGAAAAGGTGAGGATGAAGCCCTTCTATTTTTTGAGAAAGTATTTATCCTTATTCTATTTACTTGTGTCTTTACCGCACTACGAAGTTGATAATGATATTATACATTAAGTAAACAATTGTACAATATATATAAGTTCATCAATGTCCTGGGAGGGCTTTTCTTTTGTTGTTATCCAATCAATTTATCCTAAATATATGGAAGAAGTTGATGCCATGAACAATAAGATATTGTTTGTTTTTAGTTATCAACTTATCGTCATCCTCTTATGTTGACTTCAATCTGATCCAAAAATATAATGGCATGAGGGTCATTGTTTGTGCAAATATTCTCGTGGAAGAATATCCACTTTAAGATCTTTCGCCTTTTGAACTTCTTCCTCTCTCTTACTCGATTCCTGTAAAATCAAATTGGAGTAAAAGATCACACACATATAATTAAACCAAAGGCCAAAAGCTCCGATGCCTAAGTTAGTTCGATTGTATCTAGGAGAAACAATAGCTAAAAAAAGGTACTGAGCATTCTCTATGGGGAGAACCAGATGACCGGAGCTGTGTATGAAAATATGGAGAGATGAGAGAGGTGTGGCCGACGGCAGTGATGGTGCAGTTGACTTGAAGAGAGAGAGTGGAGTTTCTCGGGTATTTTTGCTAGGTTTAGAATTACCTTGTGTGTTGAATGTAGCCATGTATTTATAGGGCTTTAGGCATCTAGGGTTTTTCAAAGAATGTAGCCATGTAGACGACACTAAATTTGCAGAATCACAAGTCCACGCCCAAGTTTTCTCCCCAAGAGACAAAGTCGATTTTTATTTTAAAACCAAAAAGAAAGAAAAGGTGAGGATGAAGCCCTTCTCTAGAACATAATGAAATGGAAGAGAGCACATAGAGTATAGAAGGAGAGAGGCAATATGGAGACAGAGGGGAATTGGAGTATAGAAGGCAGAGGGGAGAGAGGGGAGAGGGAATGGGGAGACAAAGGGAATGGGAGGAGAGATGGCGCTGCAGGTTTTTTTTAAATTTATTATTTATTATTTGTTTTTAATTTATTTTCATTTTAATAAAATATTGTTTTACGTATTTGCATTTATATCGAAAATTAATTATGGTTTCTATAATTTTTTGTTCATATCCGTATCCTTATTATGATTTGATGATAATTTAATTAATATAGGGAAAGGTCCTCTGTTATGGGTGGCTATATCTGCTAAGGAATCTTGTGCATATAAGGGAGGACAAAGTTCAAATTTTCATGATATGGCTTGACATATCCTAATTCTAACTCATTCCTCCATTTTCCCTCATATCTTGACCGGCTTAACCCTACGGATTGAAATATGCTTTAATAGTTACATATATGTAAACAATTGTACAATATAAGTTCATGTGGAAGATAAAGGGGAACTTTCATCAATGTCTTGGGAGGGCTTTTCTTTTGTTTGTTATCACAATCAATTTATCCTAAATATATGGAAGAAGTTCATGCCATGAACAACAAGTAACACACTTATTGTTTGTTTTTAGTTATCGTCATCCTCTTATGTTGACTTCATTCTGATCCAAAAATATAATGGCATGAGGGTCACTATTTGTGCAAATATTCTCATAGGAGAATATCCGCTTGAAGATCCTTTGCTTTTTGAACTTCTTTCTCTCTCTTTCTCGATTCTTGTAAAATCAAACTGGAGTAAAAGACCACACACTCATAATAAAACCAAAGGCCAAAGGCCCTCCGATACTTAAATTAGTTCAATTGTACATATCTAGGAGAAACAATCGCTAAAAAAGGATACAGAGTATTCTCTATGGGGAGAACGGGTGGCTGGAGCCATGTATGAAAATATGGAGAGATGAGAGAGGTGCGGCTGGAGACAGTGATGGTTTCTCGGGTATTTTTGCTAGGTTTTGGATTACCTTGTGTATTGAATGTAGCCATGTATTTATAAGGCTCTAGGCATATATTGTTTTAATTATTTGCATGTATATCGAAAATTAATTATGGTTTCTATAATTTTGTTCATATCCGTATCCTTATTATGGTTTGATGATAATTTAATTAATATAGGGAAAGTGTCACACGTCCTCTGTTGTGGGTGGCTATATCTGCTAAGGAATCCTGTGCATATAAGGGAGGACAAAGTTCAAATTTTCATGATACGGCTTGACATATCCTAATTCTAACTCATTCCTCCATTTTCCCTCATATCTTGACCGGCTTAACCCTACATACTGAAATATGCTTTAATAGTTACATATATGTAAACAATTGTACAATATAAGTTCATGCGGAAGATAAAGGGGAACTTTCATCAATGTCTTGGGAGGGCTTTTCTTTTGTTCGTTATCCAATCAATTTATCCTACATATATGGAATAAGTTCATGCCATGAACAACAAGTAACACACTTATTGTTTGTTTTTAGTTATCATCATCCTCTTATGTTGACTTCATTCTGATCCAAAAATATAATGGCATTAGGGTCACTGTCTGTGCAAATATTCTCATAGGAGAATATTCGCTTGAATATCCTTCGCTTTTTGAACTTCTTTCTCTCTCTTTCTCGATTCTTGTAAAATCAAACTGGAGTGAAAGACCACACACTTATAATTAAACCAAAGGCCAAAGGCCCTCCGATGCCTAAATTAATTCAATTGTACATATCTAGGAGAAACAATAGCTAAAAAAGGATACGGAGTATTCTCTATGGGGAGAACCGGGTGACCGGAGCCATGTATGAAAATATGGAGAGATGAGAGAGATGTGGGTGGAGACAGTGATGGTTTCTCAGGTATTTTTGCTAGGTTTAGGATTACCTTGTGTGTTGAATGTAGCCATGTATTTATAGGGCTCTAGGCATCTAGGGTTTTTCAAAGAATATCTTCTTATTTGGAAGGAAGATATTCTTTCCCCAAATTGTAGAGATTGAGTCAATTAGGGATTTGATTGATGATGATATCTCCAAATTTGGATAATATCTTAATTGGTGATATTATCTTTTTAAATAAAGATAATATCCCATATTTAAGATAACATCCCTATTTTTAGTATCAATTAATTTGCCCAATGAATGGGCTCAATTAATTGATCTAGGAGATGATTTTCTTGTCCACGTGGCGCCTTGTGATTGGAAACTGGATTATTTGTTCCTAGAAACTGAGGGCATGTTTACGTATCAGTAATGGAGAAAGTAAGGAATTAGAGAATTTAGGAATCGGGGAATTACTGAATTAGTATGACAAGAATCATTCTTATTAAGCTGTTTACTAAACATATGGAATTAGCAAAGGAATGAGATTGATTCCCATTGTTATTGTTTACAAATTTGCATGAATCAGAATCCAAATTAATTTGATTACTAAAATGTCTTGCACATTTTCACCACAACACATATATAATTCTCAAATTGGCTAACGAGACCAAACTAATTCTGTAGCAAACCAGTAAGGCGCTGTAAACATGAGGAATCAATATGCTGAACAAGATGAACAGCAAGAGCTTAGTTCAATGATAATGTTAATAACACCTTTGTCCAAAGCCAATTTCAAACAAAAAAATAAACTCCAATAAATATATATATCTTTCACCTACGTAACTAGTAAACAATCAAATAATAATAACCATTCATAATCTTCATACTACCAAAAAAGAGATATATAATCTCCACAAAAGTCTTTATCCATGACCGTACTTTGTTTTGTGATGAATGTGAAGACAGAAGATAGAAGAAGAAGATAGATAGATAGATAGAATGACTTTCATAACACAAGGCGTTGTTGCTGCTTCTGGGTGGTTGTGTCTGCAACGCTAAGGTGAAAAAGAAGTTGGAGCGTCTTGGAACTTCTTAGTGTGAGTGTTTTTTTTTTATAAGGGTTTGGGGTATTTTAATTATGGTAAAGTGGTAAGGGTATTTTTGAAAGTTATTAAGAGAAAACAGGAATGAGAATCATATCGACTACTCCCCTCTAGTTGATTTGATATCTAGTTTTGAGGGAATATGGTTACGGATTTTGAGGTGGGGTTCACTTATTTTTTTATTCCTGATTGCAAGTAAACGCAGGGGAAGTCTGGAATGAAAATCATTCCCTTTTCTCTCATGCCCATTACTCATACAAAAACATGCCCTGCATGGAGTTAAGATGATTTCATATTGAAAACTACAAGAACATGAAATATGGGTAAAAAAATAATTTATGTTTTGATTTCATTTTACACGCCACTATTTGCTACAAGTATGTATATGTATACTTGATACAGCTAACTCTAAGTCATATTTGATGTCTAATTAAGCCATAAATAGTGACAAGAGCCATGATAAAGGAGTGGTCAACATGAGGCTCCACCACCAAAGTGAACACATCATCTCCCAAAACTACCCCTGAACTTGACTGCTTTCTCTTTGCCTCTGCTACAACTCCTCCATTGCTGTCTGTCACTCTGAATTCTGATGATTTACCACTCAAACTCTCTAACCTGTAACAGCTGCTATCAGATCTTATGGTTACTTTATAGGAAAGCCCTTTCTTTCCAAGAATTGATCTGCAACTTTTTCTCACTTGAAACCATGGCTTATTGTTATTGTCACCACTGCTTTTGTAGCCCTTCCAACTTGGAAAAACACACATTTTCATCTCACACAAGGTGAAGAGAAGTTTTCCTTGGAGATCCATGAGATAAACTTCACTGCTGTGCTTGTTGTCGTAGTTATCGATTCGATACACAATCTCTCCATTCTCATCAAACGCAGTGCATCCGCTTCCTTGCATCACAAGCGATTTCATCCATATAGTGAATGTTTCTCGCTTTGAAGTTATATATTTATTATTAGAACAAGAATCAAAACCAGTAGCAGAAGAAGCCTCATCAGTAGTATTGGGTATTATGAGGGGATGAACCTTGGCCATTTGGGAGAGGAGAGATATATGAGACGAGTTTAATTTTTGATTTGTGAGACTTGAAACAAGTTAGTAATTTATAGTCAGTACTGAAAATTGGGAACTAAGAATAAAATGGTTTAATTATTAGTTTTGCTGATCCAAGACCTCCACGTTTTACGTATGCGCATAGAAATTGGTTTAAAGTGGTTTGAAAAACTTTTTTAGAGCTTTAAAGTAGTTTGGAAACCTTTTTTAGAGGATCAATCGTGTGTGCACGTATACATATACACATATATATATTCATACCGAACCACATATTTTTGACATTTTTTGACTTAGGCTCTCATGAGTATTATAAAAGGAACTTGTCGGAGTTTTGTGTTTATATGATCAATTTCTTAATCCTCTTACCAACAAATAATATTAATTGTATGGAATCTGTTGATTAATTATGATAATTGAGGTCTTATCTGTTAGTACATGGTTTCCAAAATAACTCAAATATATGGAGGGTGACGCGCTCATTTGTCGCATTGAGTGACTTTGCAAAGAGAAGCCATTAACGAATCTTAAGCCTATATGTAACACTAAAAAGAAAAGAAAGAAGATTAGTATGGCTATTTAAAATTTAAATAAATAAGATGTGACCTAAGACAAACATGGAAAGAACATATTTGTGTTGTCAAAAGAATAAAAAAAGAAAAGTCTGTTTGCTACTTTGCTTGTACTTGGCTGCCACCTCTGTAACTTTTTAAAGGCCGCCTCCTTATGTAGAAAGTCCAACTAGCTTGTACAAATGGGATTCTCTTCTCATTTTATCTACTCACTTTTGAAGGTTCTACACACTCTCTCTCTCTCTCTCTCTCTCTCTCTCTCTCTCTCTCTCTCTCTCTCTCTCTCTTCAAATTTAGAACAAGCAAAGTAATTAACATGATCTGAGCACATATTTTTGTTTGCCTTATGATCTAAAAGATCCTCCTTTATTTATAGCTAAATTTAACTAAGGCTTAGTTATAAACTTATATTCTCCACGAACTATTACACTTGTCTCACTTTATCCCTTAAAACTTAATTTGTCTCAGTTTATCCGCTAAACTTTTATATGCGTTCAAATGCCGCTGACATGACGCCTATGTCCACTAGTGCAATTTAAATTCATAATTCCAATAAATGAGTTTTAAACCCGTTAGACTGAAAATCAAAAGATACTAGTTAATAATTAATGACTGAGTTAATAATTAATTACTTTATAATATCCCATATTGATACAAGTGGGTTGGAATTCCCACCAAAAGGGTTGGAATCTTGAGAAAAATTGGTCAAGAAACTCAATTGATTTCACTAAGAACCACTAGCTAACCCTAAGTCAGATTTGACGTCTAATTAAGCCATAAACAGTGACGAGAGCCATGATAAAGGAGTGATCAACATGAGGCTCCACCACCAAAGTGAACACATCATCTCCCAATACAACTCCTGAACTTGACTGCTTTCTCTTTGCCTCTCCTACAACTCCTCCATTGCCATCCGTGATTCTGAATTCTGATGATTTACCACTCAAACCCTCTAACCTGTAAAAACTGCTATCAGATCCCATGGTTACTTTATAAGAAAACCCTTTCTTTCCAAGAACCGGTCTCCAGCTTTTTCTCACTTGAAAAAATGGCTTATTGGCACCATTATTTTTACACCCCTTCCAACTTGGAAAGCCGCACATTTTCTTCTCACACACAGTGAAGAGAAGTTTTCCGCGGAGATCCATGAGATAAACTTCGTTGCTGTGCTTGTTGTCGTAGTTATCGATTCGATAAACGACCTCTCCGTTTTCATCAAACGCAGTGCATCCGTTTCCTTGCATCACAAGCGATTTCATCCATACTGTGAATGTTTCTCTCTTTGAAGTCATATGTGTATGAATAGCACAGCTTGAAGAAGCATCCTCGCTATTGGTACTGTCGGGTATTATGAGAGGACGAACCTTGGCCATTTGGGTGTGGAGATATGAAAGAGAATACTCGGTGTGTGTGTGAGAGAGACTGCTTCATTCAAGTTAATTAGTAATTTATATAATGTTTTCAATATTAGTTTATATTCATCCAGAAATCCACGTTTTTAATGTACGCCTTTGCTTTGTGCATAGAAAATTATAAGAAATTGTAAATGTCAATTTGTAATTCAAATTAATTATGCTTTCTATGTTTTTTTATTTGTATTCAAGTTGTTATGTATCTTATCATACCATACCAAAATAAAAAAAAGTAGTTATCTCTAGTTCTGACTTGACCATAAATTAATAATGGAGTGTATCACGCGGTTATCTAGTAGTTGGGGCTCCCCAAGATTTTTCACATGCATTTTGTGGTTGTGCGCCTACCATATATATTGTGGGGACGGCATTAACGAAATAATTCCATGAATCATGACCACACGTTCTACAAGAATCAATCAGATCATCATCAGTCCAAATTCATATTTTGACAAGATAAATTTTTTATGTTGCTGAACAATTGGATATAGACTTGCTAAGGAACATAGACTTGCTAGGACTGCTTTGTCTTGTAACACTAGAGTACAATGGTTTGAAGAGCCACTTCATATTATTTAGGGTTCTTTTTTATTTGGTGATTAATAAATTTCTCTTGTACCGTCAGAGTTTTTTTATAAATAAATAAAAAGTACAATAAGGAACACCAAATTTTTTCATCGACGCATCATTTAGTGACACATATATCGATTGAATTTCTTAATCCGCTTATGTCAATGGATCATTTATACAATGTTATCTTTCGCAAACAAATTATTGGTTTGGATAAGTATGATATTAATATTGAGTGCTTATCTGTTAATTAGTTATGGTTACCAATTTGTGCATGCACTCTGCCATAAACTAACGAACAAACAAAAGGAACAGTGTAACTTTACATTGATGTTGATTCTATTCCCAAATATGCTAACTAAAGAACTTAAATTTATGACGTGGCTATTTGTCGCATTGAATCCAAAAGGAAAAGGAGATGTTTGCTACTTTGCTTCTTGTTGTATTCCCCCCTTGAACAAACTTTTTTTGGGCTGCCTCCAAATGTTGAATCACCATTCTGTTGAGGACCAAAAAGGGGCCTTTGCATTAATTTTTCTAACTAAATTTTAGTTAAAGTTGTTAGGATGGCTCACTTTTTTTAAGTTAGTTACTTTTGAAGGGTTTCTACTCCAATCATGGCTCCTATTATTCTCTCGGATCAAAACAAATGAGATACTTGGTGAATTATTTGAAATATTGGTGTTGAAGTCTGAATCTTTTCGGCCAACTAGGTCGGCTTCTTTCGTCATTCAAACCACTCGTGTGGGCTTAAAAGTCTCTTTTTAGGCCCAAATCATTTTCTTTCTTCACTTTTCGTCATTTAGAAGCTCCACTCGTTTTAGGCCCATGAATGAAAATATCTAGGTCCAAACAATTAGAGCATCTTTAGAAGACTCTCTAGTATAGGTATTATATTAACTTATAACGCTAACTCTTTATATAAGTTTATTTGAGGGACATTTTTTGTAGGGCCCACTCCGAATTGTATTTCACTAATCCAAATCGTTTATTTTGTAGATACATATTCAAAGATCATCTCTGCAAAAAATCACTTGAATCCGATATCATTTGAACATTCAATTGAGTTATTGAAATTTTAGTACTTTTTTGAAATACCGTGTTCATTGATTTTGTAGAACCCGGTGAAATATGTATATTGATCTTATTGTCATTCTCTGACTCGTTCTAGGCTCTTACGAAACAAGCATCATATGAGCTATATAAATAATAGGGGATTTCAACATTATTCGGAGGGTGACACTTTGCTGGCTAACAAGGACTTCACGCTTTAATCTACATATATATCAATTTCTTATATCTCTAGCTAGTTGTGGTTGTGGTTGTGATTTTAATCATAATTTAATTATGGAGGGTATATCACACGGTTATGATCTAGTAGTTAGGGCTCACACCTGAATGGGTGCATTGGCCCTAACCAACCAAGGTATTGGATCTACGTGGTTAAGTTGGGGATAATAATCTTGAACTTAGCAGTGGCCATGCCGGTCTAATACACAACATGATTAATGGATCTTCATTACCTCAAGTCAAATAAAAACTCCTATCAAATTCTGATTTCCATATGATGATCATTGTCTTTTAGAGATAGTTAACGCAAGCCAAGATGAGTATATAGACTGATAATCAAAACATGAAATACTTCCTTTTTGTACGCCCAACGAGAAGAGGAAATGAGAAATGAGAATCAATTCCTTTCCCTTGATAAAGTTGTCATGTATTACTTATGGAGCACTATAAGTACAAAATTGGCCAAAAAAAGACTCAGTTGATTTCATTCTAGATCTGCACTCTAGAAGAATATAGTATATACATGCATATATGTATCTGAGACTGCTCTAATTAAGTCATAATTGATGTCTAATTAAGCCATAAACAGTGACAAGGGCCATGATAAAGGAGTGATCAACATGAGGCTCCACCACCAAAGTGAACACATCATCTCCCAATACAACTCCTGAACTTGACTGCTTTCTCTTTGTCTCTGCTACAACTCCTCCATTGCTATCTGTTATTCTGAATTCTGATGATTTACCACTCAAACCCTCTAGCCGGTAACAGCTGCCATCAGATCTCATGGTTACTTTATAAGCAAACCCTTTCTTTCCAAGAATTGAGCTGCAACTTTTTCTCACTTGAAACAATGCCTTATTGGCACCATTATTTTTATACCCCTCCCAACTTGGAAAAAAGCACGTTTTCTTCTCACACACGGTGAAGAGAAGTTTCCCACGGAGATCCATGAGATAAACTTCGTTGCTGTGCTTGTTGTTGTAGTTATCGATTCGATAAACGATCTCTCCATTTTCGTCAAACGCAGTGCATCCTTTTCCTTGCATCACAAGCGATTTCATCCATATTGTGAATGTTTCTCTCTTTGAGGTCACGTACTTGTTATTAGAACATGATGAAGTGCTAGTAGTAGAAGCATCATCAGTCTTGGATATTGAAAGAGGATGAACCTTGGCCATTTGCGAGCAAATTAGAGATGAAAGAAACTTTAGTCTTTGGTTTGTGAAAGAAGATACTTGGTGTGTGATGATGAGAGTACTTCAATCAAGTTTGTAATTTATACTCCCTCAAAATGAGAATATAATTAATGCAGTCTAATTAAATATTAGTTTCTTAATCCAAGAACTCCACGTTTAATTTGTGCAGACCATTATGTAATGAGAAGCATATGGGATATGTGCCTAGAAATTGTATATAAATTTTAATTTTTTTTTATAATCAAAATATTATAATTTTGGTTTGACAAACATTAGTTTTAAGAGCTTCTTATATATATTAATGAAATTATCTTGGACATTTTTTTACTTCTTCTAGGCTCTCACGAGTATTATATGAAATATGCAATAGATTAATTTACAAAGGGGATTTTAACATTATTCGGATGGTGATCTTGATGGCACATGGCTAGCTAACAAGGACTCGCCGTTTTCTGTACATAATCTTATGTTTTGCAAATTAATTTATATAAACTTATGGGTTGTTGTTTGTTTGCTCTTGTTCGAGTTCTTATCTCTAGTTGTGATTTTATCTTAATTTTCTATTAATTTGAGGTCCCGTAAACTGTCACATTGCGTGGGGTCTGCCAACGTGGAGGTGACATAATTAATTAACAAATTCCTATATGTAACAGTGCAAGAAAAATGGTGTTCTTAGCTGGAATAGATTAAAGAAACAAGAGATGATCTCAGAGAGATATGGAGGGAACATGTTTGTGTTGTTGCGCAAAAAGTCTAAAAGGGAAAAAGAAAAAGAAGAAAAGGAATGGACAAATGAGAAGTATGTAGGCCTCTAAAGTAGCTAGAAAGATTGCGTTAAATCCAATTCTAGATGGCAAGTTTTACAAGTTTTTCTTTTGTTTAATTGTGAAAAATTATGTCATGGAATTATAATTGTTAAGCTCAAGGTTAAGAGCAATAACCTATGAATTCGAGGTCATGTGTCAAATTCTCCCTCCTCCAGTAATGTTTGTATCAATTGTTAATGAAATATACATAATAACTGCATATAGTTTTAGTAAAATTTATCTTCGGCCCCTCCAAATAAGTTTCTAGCTCTACCCTCTCTCTACATACAACCAATTTGACATATATACATCACCATTGAGGGAAATAAGACACTTTTGTACGGTCTACTTTACATTGTATTTCACTAATCCAAACAGTTTATTTTGTAGATATTCATTCAAAGATCATCTCTACAAAAAATCACTTGAATCCGATATCATTTGACCACTCAATTGAGTTATTGAAATTTTAGTACTTTTTTGAAGCACCGTGTTCATTAATTTTGTAAGACACAATTGAATGTCTAAACGGTTTCTTATTTGTCTAATTTTTTGCAAGGATAATCTATGAATATAGACTTAAAAAATAGATGGTTTTTATCGTTGAAAAAAAATTCGTAGAGGACCCTAAAGGGTGTCTCTTAAATAAAATTATTTGAGAAATTCCTCAATAAAAGGGGATTATATGTGTGTGTGTGTGAAGCTTATATATGAGACAAAAATATGGAAGTTGTGGAGATTTGATTCTTAATAGTACAATAAAAGGGGATTATATATATACATGTGTGTACAATTAAAACTAAAAAAAAATAAAAAATTAAAGTGTAAGGTATCCGTACAAAATAATGTGTTAAATGAAACACCTACATGCGCCTTTTTGGTACTTCTAAGAAGCACACCAAGTAGAAAATTGCAGCTTTCGTTGGACTTGAAATTCTAAACTATATACGTACATTGAACAATTATATATATATATACATATATAGCTTGTCTTTATTCAATCTTTCCAGATGATGAAATGATGCTTACAAATAAATTATATGTCAAGTGAAGCTGAATCTTCATGACCACATTCATTTTGTATTGTGCACATGGGGCATGCATTATTATGATTATAATAGCTCGATGTCTCAAGAATCAATTGGAATTCTCTGTTGAAAATTATTAAACGCCGGGCTCTCATTGGCCCTCTCTCTAATTCCATGGCTCTTGCATGCTCGACGATCTTGATGTATATAGAGCTAGCTATAGAATAATCTTTCTAGAATTTTTCATATACGGTTGCTCGGTGCTCCCAAAAGGTAAACAAAGAAGTCGGTGGTGGCATTACGTTAAAAAAGTAGCTAATTAACACTTAAATAACAGCTTACCTAATCAATAATTCAGACTAATATATATAGCGTATTTCTTAAGGAAGTTGAGGTTTCACTCTAAAATGAATTGGCAGTATGGGGAGTAACTCAACTCCTTATAAACTCATGCTAGGTCTCTCAACAATTTTGAAAATAAATTATCAGATATATACAATGTTTGACATCCATTAATCCCGAAAACTTTGAAATATATTAGACAATCACTAACCCGAAAAGTTGATGTTGCCAAAAAATGAGTCAACAAGATATCCAACTTACATATTAGGCAATGAGCCTGCTATATATTTGGCACTGTTGGCGTTTATATATGCTTAATGTTTTCTTGCCAAACTATCTTGGAATATGATGCGCTCATATTGTCAAATAGTGAATCTGAATCATTAATTGAGTTAGTTCTTGTCTAAATGTGTGATTCAAGATCACAATTTGGCAGCATTTTTCAGCAGCAGTGCATGGGTTGAGAGTAAAGTACTAATCGATTGAGCAGGAGATCTTTTTTGGATGCAAATCAAAGTAGTGATTAACTAAATTATGAATATATACAAAGAACCACACAATCTATGTCATTACCATAGAATTTAAAGGGAAAAACAACATAACATTAACTCAGAAGCCTCCTCTTAATTTGCTTGCATGCTTGGAGATAACCATGCTATTATGCAAACAAGATGGACCATTTACATTTTGCGACAAAGCAATCCATACACAGCTATTATAGCCATTATAAGGGCATGCTCCATATGAGGCACCACCTCTAGAGTTAATACATCACTCCCCAGAACTACCCCAGAAGATGATACCTTCTGCTTTGCCTGCACAAACCCATAAAAGGAATTTTTTAAAAATTATTAGCAAATTAATTATAGTGATAAAATATGTATTGGTAGATCCTTATATAGCAATTAAAGAGACTAGCTAGGCTCACCTCTGCAACAATATCTCCATTAACGTCAACAATTCTAAATCTTACAGTACTCTTGCCTGCCAATCTCACTATCCAGTACTTGTCACAATCTACTGTAATTTGACAAGCTATGCTTCCCATAAACATTCTACAATATCTTGTCACTTGAAACCAAGGCTTCTCCTTCTCCACTTTAGAAGGGGCACTCAATCTATAGCCATCCCATCGTTCAAAAGCTTGTAACTTCTACAAAATCAAATGCAATTTACAACATAAGGTACTTGGATTCGCGATTAGAAAATGCAACCGTATTTGTTCATATATTTACCTTTTTACGTATGGTATAAAGAACTTTGCCTTGGAGATCCATGAGATGAACTTCGTTGCTACACTTTTTGTCGTAGTTGTCCACTCGATAAACGACGTCACCATTGGAATTATAGATCGTGCAACCATTGGTATGGCACACAAGTGATTTCATCCAAATGGTATAAGTTTCTCTCTTTGAAGAGCCACTCATGTAGGGAGGGATAGAGAGAACTTGGGGAGCTTGAGGACACACCTTAGCCATATATTAGAGGAAAGAAATTCAAATTGGAACTTCGGTGGTAGCTAGAGATGTCTAAAAGATCTTATTTATGTTACAACGTTGAGCTAAGAAAATTGCTAGTTAATTTATGCACTTTATTATTCTAATCATTATTAAAGTTATTTATGAGTTAATTTTGTCCTTGATTTGATATGTAGGAGCACTTCTTCCATATGATTAGTCGCTAATTGGGAGAGAGAGAGAGAGAGAGAGAGAGAGTAGTACTAGTCCAAGATCAATGGGTCAACCAGCTTGTTAGATGCGACTAATTTAATTAAAAACGTTTAAGTCATGCAAGAACTAACAGAAAAGCTTTTCAAGTTTACTTCTGAAATTTATTTATGGAGTTGTAATCGTTTGAGAAGATGAAGTATAAGGAAGCACGATGGCCAATTTGAAGTACTTGATGATGAACTCATTAAACTATTGGGAGATGTCGGGATGTTGAAGTCATGACTCATGACTCATGCTAAGTACATAGAGATATGCATGCACTGCTTTTGCCTCGTTTATGATTATTTGGTTAGACATATAGCTATGGGCTCAATAACCTAATCGCTTGAATTATTCTATATTAGTCTGATCAATAATTTAATGGCGGACAACCACTCTTTTTGGGCTTCTCATTTGATTTACAAGAGTCTGAGCACATGCTTTTGGTTTCCATATATAATTCTTTTCGTTTACTATTGCTACGTAATTTTAAAGAATATCTTCCGAATTCGAAGCGAAGGAACTTTTATATATGGACACAATAGGTGACACTTAGACCACCGGCCATATTCAATTATACAATATTTTTCTTATACAAGCGATATTAAAATGAAAATAATAAACACATGACCTCATATGCAAAGTGAATATTAATCACGTATATTACAAACCTCTTGCACAATTCTTTATTTTTTTCCCTTAGAAATAACAAGCTCTATATAATTTTTACCGGCCGTCAAATGTGGTGAGCTTACATGTTTATTAATGCTACATTCTTGAACTTTTACGTAACTAACTCATAAAATGACTTTAATTACATATTGGGTTACGTTTTGGGTCGCAAATACAGGATGATAGAATTTAAACTGTTCATCAATTTGATGGGTTTGGAATATGGACTAACCTAACTCAAAACGAAAATGCCATTTTCCACCATAGCATTGCCGCAGCCGCATAGCTAGGTTTGGGGTCTATTGTGCTCTATAAATTGGTGACTAGCCATATATGGACAAAAGTCTACCAAAATAACGCTAAGAACAGTTTAAAAGTACATATCACTTGTTGAGAGATAAGGGCACATACATGGATTCCAAATT